ACCCTTCTCCTAAAGCCAGCATTCTGAATCCAGACTTCTAGTCTCCTAAACTGTGAGAAAATAAATTTCTGTTTGCTACAGCCATCCACTTGTGGTAGTTCTGTTATAGCAGCACTAGATAATTAAGACACTCATACTTCTTATGATTTCTAAACTTTAGGGGATTTTGCTTTAAAAAAAATTAAGCTTAGACCTTTTGGTAACATTTAGATCAGTTTCTCTAATTTAATTAGATTTATACCAGGGAACTATAAAAAGGGTCTGTACAAACCTCTTAATATGCCACCTTGACACACTCTGGGATGCTCTAGAAACCAGTGTGTTTTTGTAGAAATAAGATGAGACTGAGAAAATATTGTATGTGTAAAGGAAATATATTTGAGTGAAATAAAATAAACATAAGCAATTCTTTTCTGATGACTTAAAAATAAAACAGTAACAGATGACAGAACTATAGAGCCATTTCTGTCAAGGCTTTAGATTTTGACAGCACATTGATATATTTTAATTCAAGTTCCATAGCACTTAAAACTGTAATAGTATATGCCCCCCAATTTTGATGGTTATCAGCATGTTACTTTTATACCACAAGAGTGTTTGTTCCCTGTATTTAAAAAACCACTATACAAATATTCTTTTGGAGAGAGCAAGAGGCTTATTCCCAAAGGGATGCCTGAATATTTTTATTTAGTGATGAGCCAAGAATTTGGGATTAGATTTAGTGATTGATTTAGTGAATAGAATTTCAAAGAAAAGTTTTTTGTTTATTAGTACATAGGTTTTCAAAGATTTAGAAATCAAAATGAATGCATCTTTTTATTCAGAATGTTAGTGTATATGCCAACTCCAAATTTGTTTAAATGAAAGATGCTTTTATACACAAAGGTGCTTTTCTGCCTAGAGTCTTAAACTACTATTAATTAAGTAGTATATAATATAATAGATAATTATAGTGTTTTAATATAGATACCGGTGGATTTGCTAGTCTTTAAATGGCTATTGTTGGCTAATAGTCTTCAGGGGATCATTTATATAGCCATGTGGTGCTAAAAATATTTCTAAATACCAATGGGACAGCTTTTCTTGAAACATGGCTATTATAAAATGAACTTTTATTTGAAGTACATTGTTTTGACTGTGATTTTTTAATTCAGATCCCTCAATTACTTTCAGAATCTGAAATTCTGAAATTGGCAAAAAAAAAAAATACCAGTACTGAAAGAAGAATAAAGGACAGCTGTTTATTTTATAGAACATTTTCAGAACAATATAGTCGTTAAATAGAGAAAGATTTCAGTTAGGAGTATTGGGAATCTGTTCTATTCATTAGGATTTTAACTGTTCTATTCACTAGGTTTTTTTGCTGGAGATATTTTTATGTAGCCTCATTGTTTTTATTTTAATTAATATTTCAATGGCAGAGAGATAATTAGGTATGTGCTGTTGAATATTAAATATGGTAGTAGCTAAGGGTAAAATAAGCATTTCTGGGTCAAAGCCCTTAACAAAATATTGTCATGCGTGAGCTGATTAATTGAAATGAATGCCAAATGGGTTTGCCACTATCCAACCAGATTCTCATAGTCACCCAGTTCATTATCTAAGGTGGTTCCAGAATGGAATGACTGGTTATGTCAAAGTTAATAGTGTTCTTTTTAATCTCAGCTACTAATGGAGTAAATCTTGATGAGAGAATAGTTCCAGCCTCATTAAATGAAGCTAAGTGCAAGAACATTCCAGAGTCTGGTCCTTTATGTCACATAAGCATTTGGAAGCCTAACGTGAAGTCCTCGATGTCATCACCCGGTGGTTTCTGTATTTTGTTGGTTTCTATCTGTAAGGACCCGTAGAAGACCCTGGAATAGATTTCTAGGCTACTCTGTTGTCCTTGTTAGATTGTACCTAAAATTGAATACAGAAAAGATGCAGCTTAATTTCTAATCAGACCAGAGAAGATGAGGATTTTCAACTATATTTAGCATAAAGAAATGTTATAATTTGTGAACATTACTCTAAAACAATGTCCCAGAGTGATAACTTTCAAATTGCATTCCAAAGCATCCTAGCATTTCAGGCAATATGCACATATTTTGTTTTTATTTCAACTGTTTTAAAAACTAATGAAAGGCACACAAAGCTTCAAATGTATATTCCAAATTTTACATTACAATGAGCAGCAATTAACTTGTGCTGCAGGTTAACTAGTTTGGGAGCAGATTTTAGAATAAAGCTTCTTCCACAATTTTGTGCCTATATCTGAAATGTTTGTAAACAGGGACTTTAGTAGTAAGCCCCTAGATCTTCTATGAATGCAGGCTGTGAGTGCACTCATACTAAATAATTTGTCTAAGCAGGCACACCATACAACTTTCTGTGGTAGGCTTAATTTATGCCCAGCAAGGCCCAAGCATATCTGTTTGGGAACTTGCTTTGACTGTAGAATAAGAGTAAGTTATACCAGTAGTTGGTAACATATTGCAGTATGATAGGACATTGCAAGTTTAGGCTTATTTTATATTTTGGGGCCATTGTCAAATTCATTTTTAAAATAATACTGTTATCATAAATAAATACCTTTGGGAAAAAAAGCCCTTTCTGCCATTCATTAACAAGTGTGGTTCATTTTAATCAAGGGCATAATGTGATTAAAAGGCAAACTTTTTTAAAAAAATATTACCATTTGCAGCCACTTACTGGTGTGGATCAGGATTGTGGTGATGCTCTCAACCAAACAAAACATTGAAATAAGTTAGCCCCTGCAGCTGATACAAAACCATATGTGTCATCCAAAAACCATACAAAACCAATTGCTGTAGAGTTGATCATGACTTATAGAGACCTTGTGTGCAGAGCAGAACTGCACTACGTAAGGTTTTCCAAGGGTGCAGTGATTAAAGTACTTGACTGCTAACCAAAAGGTTGGTGGTTCAAACCTACCAGCTGCTCTGCAGGAGAAAGACGTGGCAGTCTGCTTCCATAAAGATTACAGCCTTGGAAACCCTACAGGACAGTTCTGCTCTGCCCTATAGGGTCAATGTGAGTCGGAATCAGCTCGACAGCAACAAGTTTGGTTTTTTGGTTTAACCTTTCAAAAGCAGATCACCAGACTTTCTTCCGAGGCACAGCTTGGTGGGTTCGAACAGCCAACTTTTTGGTTAGTAGTTAAGCAGTTAACCAGCTGCGCCACCCAGGGCCTCCAGATGTCATCCACAGCCTCTTATATCAGACTTTTGTGTTCATAAATATAGTCTAGTTTGCACTGATCAATTTTTAAGGTAAATGTTAGTAATTTAAGTTTATAATAAATTTATACGAATTAGTAAAGCTTTGTCTGTTTTATGTGGTAGAGCTCCACATAAAACTTCATTTGGTAAATTTGTAGAAAATTAAATCTGGGAGATCAATGAAGAGAGAATGACTGCAACCTCCTCTGAGTGTTAGGAAGTCAGCTGTGGCCACCCATCTGCCTGGGAACTGTGAGATCTGAAGCTGACTTGGACCCCTGGCTTCTTGGGTAGTTTTAGGAAGCATTTTGCAGAAAAAACAAGCTTTCTACCGTTGAGTCCCATGGGTGGCAAAAAATGATGATAGTCATAGTCCTAAGAAATAGTATAATTAGACTACTGCTTCTGTCGGACAGAGAAACTTAACCAGGGGTCCAGGAAAAGTATAAAGAATTTTTTCTAATGTCAGCTTATGTGTATGTTTCTGGTACAAAGATTTAATGTGTTCATCAGAATCTCCAAGAGGTCCAAGACCCTCAAAGCTCAAGAAATAACTGCTTTAGCGGGTCAGGGATCTGTTAATGGTAAATTCTCCAGAAAACTTAATAAAAAATCCCCATTAAAAAATTGTGTGTCTGTGTATATTTTGGTAAATCACATTTTGCATTCATTACACCAGTGAATGAATAAATCACTTTAGACATTTTGAAAGTCATTATTGTTTAGTTGAGTGAGTATTCCTACAAATTCTGAAATTTTTCTGTCATCCAATCTTCAACATAGAGCTGTAGAGCTCTGCTGGGCAGTTATTTCTACTCACACATTTTTTGAGAACATAAATCCTATTGAGTATATAAACTTATTACTATTTCATATTAACTAAAAATTTTCTATCCAGAATATAAATGATATGAAAATTAAATCATATAGTTAAAATGAATTTTAAGATAAGGAGACTAAATAAAGACTTATGGCAAAATCACTACATTCTGTATATGACTTTTTCTCCCATTTTGGAAATTGTTTTGGAGGTCAGAGTTTGCCTGTATAGCGCTGTTCCATATTGTATGTAAGCTGGCCTTTTCTAAGAACACTCAAGGCAAAGAGGCAATAAAAATGGAGCCTGGTTTTGCTGGTTGAAGAGGTAGAAAAAGGAATTAGGAAGGAGATGTTGTGATGTGTGGTACCTGCTCTCCATTTTTAACTGGATTCTGTCTTCACAGCAGTAAGGAAATCACTCACCACTTTCCCAGCTTCTTACAGATGCATTTATGAGATAAAGGTGAATGCCTTGGAACCTGGTACATGCCCTCTGGGTTTTATTATCCATTGTTCTTGACTTAGACTTAGGTAAATGGCTTTGGAAAGCCTTAATTTACTAGACCATGCAGGCTTCATTCCCAGTAGGACTGGAGTGCATACCTCAGAAATCTCATGAAATTTATTTTTTCAAGCATAGTATTTGTACATAGGTTTTCCATAACATTTTTACCCACAAATATAAATGATGTTTTAGGGGAAAAATGACAAAAATTGTATGTTTAGAGAGCTTTGCAACAAAAAATGTCTCATTGCTTGAGGTATTCTATGTAAGGAGTTTTGCAGATCTTAACTTTAATAAATAATGTATTTTGTGGCTAAAATTCTCCTGTTCTAATTCCTGCCACCACACCATGTATCGCAACCATTCTCCCATACACACTCTCTGGGGTGAGGATAAGCAGCAGCCCCTCTCTTAACCTCTGCTTACCTTGTGTTTGTTTTCTTTCTTTGCAGAGACTCTCCTTGATGACTTCCTCCTCACGTACACTGTCTTCATGACAACTGATGACTTGTGCCAGGCCCTGTTAAGGCAATATCCTTCATTAACTTCAGAATGCTGGGTCATCTTTCTCTCAGACAGATGTCTCACATTCGGAATTAACTGCCTTTCTTAATTTATTCAACACCATGCTAGTATGTGGACATGTTAAGTATTAATGTCATGATATCCAAGGTAAAAGATGAAATGAAACAGAATAGAGCCAGGGATACTGGTAATGGAGAGCTGCTGTTTTCACATTCTACATCATGGGTAGATCGGATGGATTATGTTACGTTTTCTTTAAATCTGTGCCTCATGATTGCTTTAAAGTCTGGAGGTAAATTTGGCCTGCTGTAAACTCCAGAGTCAAGAGGTAGAGTGGGTTGGCAATATCACACAATAAGTGGATTTAGAAGGGAATCAATCAGTGTCAGACCACTTGCATATGTGATAATCATGTTTCTGGGCAAGTGTCCCAGGGGAGACAAGCCATTCCTCCGCATAGGAGACCCAAACCACACCCTGGAATCAACTGTCAGCCTTTCAGAGTTTTGTCACCGCGTGCTCTTGTGGAATGATGGATGTGATTGGAAGGTTAATGACTGGTTTAGGAAGCTGTATAGTTTTATTCACTAGCTAGAAGAAATGTAGCATAGAAACATTGAAAGGCTAAAATACAAAGCCAAATAAATTTACTGAAAGTCTCCAAATGGGCTTCTTGCCCCACAGTGTTTAAAGAAGATGTTTCAGAAGCATATAAGTAAGCTGTTAAGTATAGTGTTTTAGTAAACCAAACTAAAAATTCTGCTATAGCCTACAAGAAAATTTTTAGGATTTTTTTTTGGGAGGAGGGCAGGGGGGTATATACCAGTTTTACTGAGCTCTAATGATAATGATCCTGTTAATATTCTTTTCCTGTTTAATAATGATAACTGTCTCCCCACTTTATAGAACTTTCCTGCTTAAAATAATATTTTAGGACTTCATATGGGGCATAATTGAAGTAAAATCTGTTAATAAACATGTAAACTAGAAATGGTGATTCCTTTTTGGTCCTTTACTACATACAACCCTATAAGTAAACAAAACTACTGATATTTTGAAACTTTTTAGAACCAGTCCATCAAACTGATCTTAAAACATGAGCTAATTTTGAATTTAGAAGATTTCAATAATATGTACAAATTTCTTCCACAATTTCCAAGTGGAGTGTTGCTAAGAAATTCAGCAATATGTATAAGGTTTTGAATTCCTCCTTCTTGGAAAGTACTTTAGAAAACTGTGAGCTAATTTCATCTACATTTCAATGCTAAAGAATTGCCATACATTAAGTAATATAAAGTGTGTTTTGTAGCAAATTAAACCAAAAAACCAAACCTGTTGCCCTCGAGTCAGTTTTGACTCAGAGCAACCATATAGGACAGAGTAGAACTGCCCCATTGGGTTTCCAAGTCTGTAATCTTTATGGAAGAGGCTGGTGGGTCCGAATTGCAGATTTTTTGGTTTGCAGTCGAGTGCTTAACTACTGTGCTACCAGGGGTCCTTTATAGCAAATTAAATGCCTTCAAATTATTGTTTTTAACTGTGATCCTAGTATTAGTTATGATGGATAAATAATCCATTATATTTATCAAGGAATAATTTAATACCTCATAGAATTTCCCTGAAGAATCTCTAAAACTTAAAAAAAAACAAACCCATTGCCATCCAGTCGATTCCGACTCATAGTGACCCAACAGGACAGAGTAGAACTGCCCCATAGGGTTTCCAGGGAGCGCAGCTAGTGGATTCGAACTGCTGACCTTTTGGTTAGCAGCCATAGCTCACTGTAGCTCTTAACCACTGCACCACAAGGGCTCCTCTAAAACTTCACTCAGATATAAATATGTTTTGAATCTTTCACCAAGACTGTTACATGAAAATTTAGATTCTTAGCAGCCTTGTTACTACTGATGATCCAAACCCAGGAAATCAAAAACATTTTAAGCCAGGATTCTCCCTATATGGTTATTTCTCTGTATTTGCATCCTCTGCCTTTTATGAATGAATATAAACCTCAAACAAAAAACGGCATCCATATTTAATCTGAGATATTTTTATGCCCGTCTTAATAAATATGTCATTCATATTCCACTACTGCCAATTTCTAAGAAATGATCCAAATTATTTTCTTTTTTTCCCTTATTATTTTTGAACATTGTTTATAGATTTGAGTCATTTCTTCTGAGTTTGGATATCTTAGATAGATACTTTTATTACAATAAGTACCTTTCTGCTTTTATCATCATCAAAGAGCATTATTTAAGCTCATATAGCCCTGGGCCAGGCAATATTCATTGCATTATACTGAAGTTATGACTTTTACCCAATGTCTTACCACTACCCCTCCCCCCAGCTTCATTTATATATTAATATTATCTAGTACGGACAAATTATAAAAGAATGTATATACACTGATATAGTAAACCAGAATAATACAAATGCAAATTTAATCAGTAAATATTTTTTAAAAGGCATCTTGCAGAGAGAAGAACACAATTAAGCATGTGAATGGTAGTAACTATGAATGGAGAAGAGTGGTTGAGGTTTCAGTTCCTGAAATTGCTTTATCCTGCTGGTCCTTAATTGTTGGACATATTATAAATGCAGCTTTAATAACAAGTTCATATCTTTGCCTACATATGCTGACCAAAAAAAAAAGTAGTTGTTACTTTTTCTTAATTTTCCAGATTTTTTTCTTTGTATTAATGAGGTCTATATAGTCACAGGAAAAGAAGAAAAGGACATTTGCATAGTGGAAATAATGTAGGATAAATCTTTGTATTTTGCCTTTCAAGAGAAAAACTAGAAGAAATAGACATTTTAACAAATTCTTTGTGTGGTTGTCCGGTTTTGTTTTATAGGTGGGAATCAAAGAAATCAGATGGCCTTACTTATCTCCACAGAATGAAGAGATAGTGACAGAATTATTTTTAAAAAATATTCACAAAGCCTAATGTAGAATTTTTTCCTGTTTTGCAATTATATATCAGCATTTTTCAAAAAAATATGTAATCCTATCCAACAACCCCAAAGCCTACCTGATATCCCGTGCTTGGTATCATAACATTTCCTATTCCTAGTTAAATTTTCAATGTGTCCAAGCTAATCAGAAATAATTTTGAGGACAAAAACATGGATCGCTTTAGAAACCACCAAGCTTCTGTCTCATTCGTAGGACTTTAAGCATTTTGCCCTTGAGGTTGTTTTTATATAATTTTACTAGCATGATTAACACATGGTCGTTGTATACAAATGAGGAAATGCAAATAAGTATAATAAAAATAATTTACTGGGATATTATAAAATCCCATTACCTTGAGAAACCACTGTTAACTTTTTCATATGTATTCTTCCAGGCCATAAAATTATTCATATAAATAAGCATTGTTGGCAGAAATGGATCATTCTAAACAAACACCTTTCTACTCAACAGTATATCGTGTGTGCTCCACGTCACTAAATGCTCTGCTGGACCGTCGTCTTTATGGCTGCAGAATAGTCCTTTAAATGGATATGTAATAACTTAGTTAACTATGCTTAATTGTAGAAGCATTTAGGTTATTTCCTTTTTTTCTTTTTTTAAATGAAAATGAAAATTAGCAGTCCTTTTCTATCTGTGTCTTTGCACACTTACCCAATTCTTTTCAAATAAATTCCTACATGTGGGCATTTGAATCATATCATAAACTGCACTCCAGAAAGGTTGGACTACTCTGTGCTTGTTTGGGACTACGTTAGAGGTAACTGGTTTTATAGAATGTGAATTTCTGAGAATCAAAGACTATCTGGCCTGGTTCTAGTCCAAGTTTCATTGAAGTAGTGTTCACCTATGTAGTGGGACCAGATCTTCTCTTGATCCACCCTTGAAATTAATGGGTTGTCTGTTTTTTACCCCTTTTAAATCCTTGCGGCCTGTGGAACTATGTCAGCAGCTACCGATGCAATGTCTCAGTGTTAACTTCATGGCTTACCACTGTGTGTACAAAAATCATTTTCCTGGGTTTACTTTTGTTCTTTTCAGTGAATGCCTTTTGCTCTTCCTACACATATTCTTTTCTTCCTGCAGGCTTATATACTTGTAGAGTCTTTGAAAATATGTTGTAACATATTTTGTGAAATCAATAAATGAATCTCGTCAGTATTTTTATTTTCAGTCATGTAATATTCTTTCTTAACCATTTGTACCTATTCTGCTAAGAAGTATCAAGGCAAAGAAGAAAACTCAGATGTTCCTTGTAGGAAACGTAAAGTCTTACATCTCGTTTCCCAGTGGATTGCTTTGTACAAAGACTGGTTACATGAAGATGAACATTCAAAAATGTTTTTAAAGGTAATGTAAGACTTCCTGATATCCTGTGATGCCAAATGACTGGTTTTATTTTCAGTTATGCATTTCAAAAATCTCCTTTGTGGTTACAGTCATTCAGCTTTTTTGGTAATGTTCAAGACATAAACTCATTTTGACCACCGAGGCCTGATGTTCCCTACATAGATAGAAACTTAATTTCTTTTCTTTTTTATTGTACTTCAGGTGAAGGTTTACAGAACAAATAGTTTCTCATGAAACAGTAGTACACATATTTTTTTATGACATTGGTTAACAACCCCACGACATGTCAACCCTCTCCCTTCTTGACCTTTTTTTTTTTGGTGAAAATATACATAGCCAAAGATACACCATTTTAAAAATTTCTACATGCACAGTTCAGTGTCATCAACTACGCTGTTCTGGTTGTGCTGCTATTCTCGTTTAGATGAAGGTTTACAGAACAAAGTAGTTTCTCGTTAAACAGTTATTAGTATGCATGTTGCCCTATGGCAATGGTTAACCACCTCACAACACATCAACACT